TATTAAATTGTAAAAATCATGACCCTCGGGGGTAGGGCGGGGCAACAATAGGGGATCCCAGTTTTACATAGAAATATATAGAACAAATCTTTAAAAATCTTCTTCTCAAGAACCACTGGGCCAGGAACACTGAAACTTATGTGGAAGCATCCTTGGATAGTGTAGATATTAAATTGTTAAAATCATGACCCCTCGGGGGTAGGGTGGGGCCACAATAGGGAATCCAAGTTTTACATAGAAATATATAGAACAAATCTTTAAAAATCTTCTTCTCAAGAACCACTGGGCCAGGAACTCTGAAACTTATGTGGAAGCATCCTTGGGTAGTGTAGATGTTCAATTGTTAAAATCATGACCCCCGGGGGTAGGGTAGGGCGGGGCCACAATAGGGAATCTAAGTTTTACATAGAAATATATAGAACAAATCTTTAAAAATCTTCTTCTCAAGAACACCTGGGCCAGGAACGCTGAAACTTATGTGGAAGAATCCTTGGGTAGTGTAGATATTAAATTGTTAAAATCTTGACCACAGGGGTTAGGACGGGGCCACAAAAGGGAATCCAAGTTTTACATAGAAATATATAGATAAAATCTTTAAAGATCTTCTTCTCAAGAACCACTGGGCCAGGAATGCTGAAACTTATGTGGAAGCATCCTTGGATAGTGTAGATATTAAATTCTTAAAATCATGACCCCTGGGGGTAGGGTGGGGCCACAATAGGGAATCCAAGTTTTACATAGAAATATATAGAACAAATCTTTAAAAATCTTCTTCTCAAGAACCACTGGGCCAGGAAAGCTGAAATTTATGTGGAAGCTTCCTTGGGTAGTGTAGATTCTAAAGTTTTGAAATAAAAAAGGGAAGGGGGTTGTTGGGCATGATAGGTATAGCAAGAGCGGGAATCTGGTAAAGATCTGCATCACCCAAGTTACTCAGGTGAGCGATGTGGCCCATGGGCCTCTTGTTTGTGAAATAAAATTGTTAATTTAGATTTCAAAAATGTAGACTAAGATTTAAATCACACGAGCCCCCCCCCCCCTGTCAATTTCAATAGTCCCAGCCCACTGACGTCAAACACAAAGACATCCGCATGAGATTTGCATGCATATTAAACCTCCTTAGCGTCAGACACAAAGGCAGACGCACGAGATTTACATACATATTTTAAGCCTTCTCAGCTCGTGATCTAACCGCTTGGAGAAATTTACATTCCGGTAGAATGATCATGGGATCAACTCAACTTTCAAAGAGTTATCACCAATACCATTTTTATTCAATTTGTTTAAAATTGCAGATTTCCAAACAGTTTCAAATGCTTTTGAAAAATCTACAAAGCACACATACATGTAGAAATTCTTTTCTTTGCATAAAAATATCTGTTTCCAAGTGGTTAAGTACATATATTGTCAGTAAATAATTAATATTTGTCGTACACAGATCCTGCCAGTTGTTTTGAGATTAAGAAATGCTCCCCTTCCTCTAACGACGGCGAGTATTGGTTATTCCCAGAAAGGTTTGACAGGCAGACACCCTTAAAGATTTACTGTCATAATATGACGTCACCGGAAACTGCGACTGAGTATCTCACGCTGCCCAAAGAGAACTACTTTATAAGGCATGATAGTACTCACTGGAAAGAGGCTTATCAAATGTGTAGCAGGAATTCCAATCCTTTAATGAGGACGGTCTTTTCTAAGATAAAAATAGATATTAAGGTAAAGAGTTTTACTTATATCGTATTAAATGTGACGGGGATAAACGTAAAATTGTTTTACTGTGATTATATTTTTTTTTATTATTTTCAAAATCATTCCCATATTCATAATCATACTGGGTTTTTTTATGATGATTAATATTCGTGATCCCACAAAAAAGGCAAATAGATTGAATCTAGAATAGCTAATTATTTGTGTTAAAAAACGAAACAAAATTATATTTAAAATTAATGAATTCAATCAAATTCAATTGACTAAAATATTCATGGAAATGTTGGTCGCCCATTAATGTACCTTGACCCCCCTTCCCAAAATAAAATTTCATATGGTAAAAGACTTCTTCCTGATAAAAGAGCCTGACATTTTTTCTTAGCAACTAAAGTCAATTTTAAATTTAAACATTTAATATCTATACGATTAGAATTTTTTATTTTCCCTGATTCTCTCATTCCATTTGGCTGGGATTTTTTTCTTTAGAAATACATGTATTATAGCCCAGTTCATTAAGACAGTTTAAAGTGTAACTTACTTCTCCATAAAATAGCTTCCTCTTTTGAATCTTGATATCAAAGACCAAAGATATTATAAAATAATAATTAATATATGACACAGCTTTTTGATGATATATATATACCAATGAATTATTCATGCAGTCATTGAGCATTAAGCAGGACGACTTCACATTTGCTAATACCACTGGTACCAGTGCGGTAGAGAACGTGCCGTTTGGGACGACTAACGATTGCACCGCAACCAAGACCTGGTATTATGCTAACAACCAACCATGCCAGCTTTTTGCAAGATTTCAGATAGATCTGCAAGGAACTGGGGTAGCTATTTCAAAATCGGTAATTCTCTCTTTTTTTCCTATCAAATGGGTGGACAATTTATTTTTCAATTATTTATGAATATCAATAGTTTGTGTAACCAATCCTTCAGTCAGAGTGACCTTAACAAAATGCTGATATCTCTCTCTAATGGAATTTGAAATTGTTTACAAGTTAGCTGAGAAATAATTATATGATATAACACTTTTTTGTTATGGTCTGATCTTTGATTTTAAAATATGACATATATTTTTCTTCAAAAGACTACATGGGGAATTCATACATATGACGGAAAACTTCTGGAATTAAGTCGGTCTCCAGATTCTACGAGAGTGACTTGCCATTTGTTTGGTTGGTGTGCAGAATGTTTTCCGAAAACTAACATAACTGTAGAACCAATGCATGGATCAGGTGAGACGTTTTCATTGATATAAAAATAACGTAATGAAATGTGAAATGTAAAAATGGTATTTGAAAATAAAACTAGGGTATTTTTGGTTGGAAGGTTTATTATCACTTTTACTTTTTCATATTTGCAAACGAGGATACTTTCGTGTTTAAACAGAGATACTTGTAACTTGTAATCGCTCAGTTTTGAATTTGCTCAATGATTTCAAGGGCTTAATAAATATAGAATGAGGGGAGGGGTGAAAAATGCATGCAATTAATAATACATATATTTTCTTTACAGTTGTTTATTATCATACTGCTAAGAGAATTAACTGCGATGAAATAGAGGGTATTCCGTGAAAACTGGCTAGTCCTGAACTCATAGATTATGTACTACATGTACTTATTTAATGATTGGATTAAAAAAATCGTTCATACTCGTTTTTATAGTCTCTGAAATTCATAACAAAAGGTTCAATGGCTACGAAATATTGTGCAAAAAAGCCCCGTCTTGAAACTTATGGAAACGATCATTCTGATGCTGTACGAAGTTCATTCAATCAACAAATAAAACGTAAAAATAAAAAAAAAATGGTCGTATTACGTATTCTTATCTTTTTTCTCACTTAATGATACCCCGACTTCTAAATGATTATAATAGCGAAGTCCATGTTTTGCTCTGGTAAACCTGAAAGTTTTATTTGATTTCACCAGTGGTATATGAGGGGTTGTGGATAAAAGATGGGTACTCCAAAAGCGTAACAGACGGACGGACGGGCATCCCGATCACTATATACCCTCCCACTTTACAAGCGGAGGGTATAAAAAACAAATTTTCTGGTAGAAATATTATTTCATTCATTATATCCCCTGCTTAAAAAGTGGAAGGGTATACTTATAGTGATCGAGATGTCCGTTTGTGTACCTCCATTAAGCTTTGGTGCAACACTGAATGAATTTTCATGAAACTTTCACAGAATCTTGGTTACATAGTGTCATTGTGCACCTTCTATTTTACTTTTTGATCGGACACAAATTTTGGGTTTCCTACAGCAAAATATGGACATTGCCATTTTGTCTATAATATTTTAGGATAGCCATACCTTATTTGCAATTCCTCCTTTACCATTATATATAATGGTACTTTCACAGATTCATTTTACGTAAAACCATTGTGATCACCTATTTTATTTTTTGATCAGACACTTATTCTTTATCTCCCAGAACAGAAAACGTGGACTTTGCCATTATAATGGTAGCAAGGTGTGGGGACCATTTAGTGGGTATAAGTGGGTTTCAGATAGTCGGTTTAAGAGCTCTACAGAGCTCATGTTTCTTGTTTTGCAATGTATAAAGTGCCGACCTTAAATAAAATTAACTTACTTACTAGTGAGCTCAGTGCTCAAAGTACCTCTAGTTTTCTTTGTTAGAATTCTAATAAAAGTGTTGTGTTGAAATGTTTTGTGACTTAGCCATACCTGTATCCTTCAGTAAAATCTGGCAATTTTAGACTTAATGTTGCTCGCAGGATCCATTTTTGTTGGTTTCCCTACAGGTTTTAATCGACCAGTTTACTTTTGAATTCAAATGGGAAAATTATATAATACAAATACGAATTATGCAATACAAATGAAAAATTATAGAATGCAAATAAAAATCATATCATACAAACGGAAAAGATCGAATATTGCAACGTTTGACATGCCATATTTTACTATACTAGTATGTTGAAATTTTTATTCAACGACCCTCTTTCCTATTCGCCCTATGGGGATCCGGGTTAGAATAGGTACTCAGTACCTCCTTGCTTGTCGTAAAAGGCGAATAAATGGGGCGGTCCTTCGGATGAGACCGTATAAACCGAGGCCCCGTGTCACAGCAGGTGTGGCACGATAAAGATCCCTCCCTGCTCAAAGGCCGTAGGTGCCGAGCATAGGCCTAAATTTGCAGCCCTTCACCGGCAATGGTGACGTCTCTATATCAGTGAAATATTCTGGAGAGGGAACAACTATTCTAGTAAAATACAATTTAACTATTACCTTTTAGTGAAATCAAAGTTCTTTTAGTACAAATAATCTAACAGAAAAAAATACGAGATACAAGCTTTTGAGCAAAAAGCGTGACGTAATGCTTTCCAAAGAAAACCTTTGGTTTCAGTTTTGTGTCGATCGGTTAATTTGACAAGACTCCAAACGAAGGCCGCATTTGTACTAATACATGTACTACCGTTTAATTATACATCTTGTAATTCAATATCTGGCACTATATTTGCCTTACATACTTTTGCATAATGAATGATAGCTTTTGTTCAAGAGACATTATATCGATGTCAATTAACAATGGTGATTTCCACGATATAGCCTGGTGAGCTTGAGATAAAAGATACCGCATAGTCTGAAACATCTGTTTCATACATGAATACTTTATTTGAAAAAGACGTTAATGGTAAATCTTACAAGTTCTATGATAAACGTGATGACTTTAACTTTTTAATCGTCAACTTCCCTTACTTATGCAGCGATATTATACCTTCATCACTTGCATGCGGAATTTATGTATCTCAGTTATCTCAGTTGATTCGATACGCAAGAGCATGCTCTGTATGAACAATTTTTATTTAAACGAGGTAAATTATTGACAAACAAGTTGATGAAACAAGAGTCCATAGTTTATACATTGAATTGACGATGGATTTTCCGTTGTTTCCGGATCGTGGATGTAATGTTCATATCTTAAAATAGTCATTCAGATTTAATGTTTTCCCACGTTTAGGAATTTGCTATACCAGCAGAATGTTATATGTTAAATACAAGTTCAGTAATTGATGTTGACAGTTTCAGCCACGCCGATTTGTGTAATCATTTAGTTATGTAGTTTAGAATTAAAGCGTTAAAGCGAGCAGACGTGTTTCTGTTATAAGTGTCTAGAACACGGACAGTACATTGGCGACGAGGAAAAACAATAATGGCAAAGGCATTGCAGTTACCTGCACTTAATCCCTTTGATGTAAATGGTGACCAGACAAGCGTTTCCCAAAGGTGGGATAAGTGGAAGAAAACTTTTGAATTTTACACAACGGCGACAGGGATAACGGATAAAGCACAAAAAAGGGCTTTGTTTCTACATTCCGCGGGAAGTGAAGTCCAAGAAATATTTGATACCCTTGGGGAGTCTGGAGATGACTTGGACGGTGCCAAAAAGAAATTAGATGAGTACTTCCAACCAAAACGGAACATAGCATTTGAGCGCCATTTGTTCAGGAATGCGGCACAAGGTGAAACAGAAAAAATTGACAGTTTTGTGACTAGGCTGCGTAAACTGGCCGTAACCTGTGAATTTGAGAAGCCAGACGACAACATTCGAGATCAAATTGTTGAAAAGTGTAGATCGTCAAAATTAAGAAAAAGACTCCTAAAGGAAAAGGAATTAACTTTAAAAAGTGCAATGGATATAGCCCGAGCTGGCGAAATTGTAAACGAGCAAGCAGACAGATTCAAGGGCAGTGAAACATTTTCAAGCTCCGATGTAAACACTGTTAGGCCGTCGGTAAGTCACAGGAAACAATACGTGTCTGAGAAAAGTTCGCAGAAAGATGCCACGTGTTTTCGGTGCGGGCGGAAGGGCCACATTGCAAGGAACTGTACAATTACTAAGGACAAAACGTGTAATAAGTGCGGGAAAAAGGGTCATTTCGCAAAAGTGTGTAAGACTAAATCGGATACCCCGCGCACTAGACCAGGTAAGGACCGCAGCACAAAGCATGTTCATTTAGTGCAGAGCGAGTCCTCAGATGACGAGTTCGCATTTGCTGTCTACAAAAACAATACAAATGGCATGATAGACGTTAGCGTGGGCGGAGCTAAGATACAGATGCTAATTGACTCTGGCGCGAGCTGCAATATCGTTAACCACAATGTATGGAGCGCCATTAGAGCTAACGATGAAACAATGTCCCTATCGAGAAGCACAAAAAGATTGTTTTCTTACGGATCAAAGGAACCTTTACAAATACTACGAACATTTCGGGCTGTCACCAAGCATGGACTGCGTGAAACATATGCAGAGTTTGCTGTCGTTGAAGGCGATTATATTTCCTTACTAGGAAAAGACACAGCGGTAGAGCTAGGAGTTTTACGCATAGGGACCGATGAGCCGAACCTATGCTCCGTTAGAAGTGAACTTGATAGGATTGTTGCCTCAAGAAATTCTGTTTTCAATGGAGTAGGGAAACTGGAAAATTTTCAACTGAAAATTCATATCGACAAGACCGTGACCCCTGTAGCACAACCGTTACGACGCTTACCATTTAATGTGAGGAAAAGCGTGCACAAAAAGCTCGAGGAGCTGGAGAAGATGGACATAATTGAGAAGGTAAACAGTCCCACGGCTTGGGTGTCGCCACTTGTCGTTGTGCCTAAGAAAAACGGTGAAATTCGAATCTTTGTCGATATGAGACGGGTCAACACTGCTGTTCAACGCGAGCGATACCCTATTCCGACCGTGGATAAAATGCAAGAAGATATGAACGGCAGCACAGTATTCTCAAAACTCGATTTACGTTTGGGATACTGTACCACCAAATAGAGCTAGACGAGGAATCAAGAGATATAAGCACGTTTTTGACACATGAGGGCTTTTATCGCTATAAGCGCCTCATGTTCGGAATTTCCTCAGCATCTGAGATCTACCAAAGAGTAATTGGACAAGTCATTCAAGGTATCAAAGGAGTAAGGAATTTGTCTGATGACATTGTAGTCTACGGGACGGATCAGGCGGATCATAACAAGAAACTTACGAAGGTGCTCGACAGACTAGCTGAGAAAGGGCTTACCCTAAACAGAGAAAAATGCGAATTCGGTCTGTCAAAAATTGTGTTCCTCGGACATGTGATTTCATCAGAGGGGGTTAAACCTGACCAGGAAAAGATCAAAGCAGTATCGGAGACCAGGACGCCGAGCAACAGTTCCGAAATAAGGAGCTTCCTGGGGCTAGCAAACTACTGCGGCCGTTTTATACCTAACTTCTCAACGATAGCTGCCCCGTTACGAGAACTTACAAGAAAGAACACGCACTGGAGTTGGACGAAAAGACACCAGGATGCGTTCGACATGCTTAAAAGAGCGCTCGTAAGTGCCGAAGCACTAGCATACTACAATCCAAAAGCCGAGACAAGGATAATCGTGGATGCGAGTCCCGTTGGACTTGGGGCCATTCTAGCACAGAAACAACCGGACGGATTGTTTAAACCAATTGCATATTCAAGTCGAACTCTAACCGACGTTGAGCAAAGATACTCGCAGACCGAGCGCGAGGCTTTAGGTGTCGTGTTTGGTTGTGAAAAGTTTCACATGTATATATACGGGCTGGAGTTCGAAATCTGGACGGATCATAAGCCGTTGACTTACATTTTCTCTCCAAAGTCGAAACCACCAGCTAGAATCGAGCGATGGATGTTGCGACTTCAACCGTATAAGTATAAGATTGCCTATATACCTGGACCAAAGAATGCTGCTGATGCTCTATCCAGATTGAGTCAGAATCAGGCTTGCCGAATACGCCACATTGCAGACGAGTATGCGCATTTCATTGCAGATAATGCTGTACCGAAAGCACTCACTATTCAAGAAGTTCGTCAGAAAACGTCGGAGGACCGAGAACTCGTCGAGATTATGAGGAGGATCAAAACAGGGCATGGCCGTCTGGATCCTAAAATTCGTACTGTGGAAACGGAACTTTCAGTCGTCGACGGAATAGTATTACGTGGATCGCGCATCATACTGCCTAAATGCCTAAGGAAACAAACAATACAGTTGGCCCACGAAGGACACCAGGGTATTGTCCGCACGAAACAAAGATTAAGAGAAAAAGTATGGTGGCCAGGCATAGATACAGAAGCCGAGCGATTTGTTAGAACATGTCAACAATGCCAACTTTTGTCGAACAACAATAGGCCCGAACCAGTTCGAACAACGGTATTACCCGACGGGCCATGGCAGGATCTGGCTATAGATCTTATGGGACCGTTTCCTTCTGGGGAGTATCTACTAGTCGTTATAGACTATTTCTCCCGATTTCAGGAAGTAGCCATTATGAAAAAGATAACCAGTGAGAAGATCATTCTTCAACTTGAGAGTATGTTCGCGAGGCACGGCTTACCTTACAGTATGCGAAGCGACAACGGACCACAGTTTGTGTCAGAGGAATTTAAGGGATACCTGAATTCAAATGGTATCAAACACATTCGGACTACACCATACTGGCCACAAGGAAATGGGGAGGTAGAAAGGCAAAACCGAACACTACTCAAAGCCATTAAAGCTGCAAACGCAGAAGGCAAGGATTGGAGACAAGAGCTACCCAAGTTTTTACTTGCGTACCGTGCGACCCCACATTCTACAACCGGAAAAAGCCCTGCAGAGTTATTATACAATCGGAAAATTCATACCAAGTTACCAGAGATCAGTGCAAGAATCGATCACAAAGAAGTAAGAGAAACGGACGCAAGACGGAAAGAGGATTTTAAAATAAGAGCGGATGAGAAGCGCCGCGCCATACCGTGTGAAATTGAGATCGGTGACACTGTTGTACAACGTCAGCCAAAGCGCGATAAGTTGTCAACCGAGTTCGCTCCTGAGAAGTTCATCGTGAGGGAGAAATGCAAAAATGCAGCGACTCTCGAGGATGAAAATGGATCGTTGATTAAGCGAAACTGCACGGCTATAAAGAAATTTATATCGAGCGACGAAAACGAAACGTTATCGCATGACCCCGAAATTAGCGCAGACGATACAGGAGACGAGTTGGATAAAGACCGTTCTGTCACAGATACCGGAAGACCAACCCGGGAACGTAAACCACCCGCCTATCTAAAAGACTATGTGACCACCTGAGAAAAAAAAAAGGATTGACTTTTTTGTTATTTGACTGTAACTTTATTCTCTATTTGTATAAAGATTAGTTATTGGCATTACAGGCTGTCATTTCAGAAATTATGTAAAGATTGTTTTTTCTGTCTAAGGTGAAGAGGGATGTAATGTTCATATCTTAAAATAGTCATTCAGATTTAATGTTTTCCCACGTTTAGGAATTTGCTATACCAGCAGAATGTTATATGTTAAATACAAGTTCAGTAATTGATGTTGACAGTTTCAGCCACGCCGATTTGTGTAATCATTTAGTTATGTAGTTTAGAATTAAAGCGTTAAAGCGAGCAGACGTGTTTCTGTTATAAGTGTCTAGAACACGGACAGTACAGTGACAAGTAGCACGCGCAGACGTGACCGGTCGGCAGGAGATGCTCACTCCTCCATGGCACCTGATCCCACTTCTAATGTTTTGGGGGTCCGTATTTGCCCTGCTCCAATTTTTTTTTATTGTTTTATGAATTTTTGATCTGGGACGTTGTTCGTTATCTTCATTTTATTATGTTTCATCCATATATAATATTTTTTTATGAATTCAGACTATAATTTTAAATAAAACAATACTTGTTTGTGAAACACTGATGCCCCGCGTGGCAGCTTCGAACGAAGGCTGAAGTTTCTCAAATGAAAGTCAAACTCCAAGGTCAGGAGATCAAAATGTTGCTATCGAAACAAAGAACTTACACAAGTGTCAATGAATTTGCTAGTATGTATGTAAAATATAAAAGCCCGAGTACTAACTTTTTAAAGTTAAGACGAAGATTAAAATTTTGTTTAAGTCTACAAGGTAGAGTAGGCAAGTACCATCGCTTTTGAAAGTGGGGGAGGGGATATTCAACCGAACCGGGAAAAAACCTGACAAGCAAAAAATATATTAAAAAGGGAAAATTGCTAAAACTTGAATATCCTATTTCGGGGGAGAGGGTGTGTGTGTTAGGGGGGGGTTCCAACTGCCCTCAGTTCCAAATGTTTTACTCATACTATCTTACCCTTATTTGACTTCTGTATACTGCATCAAAAAGGGGCAACCAATATTTTAATGAATATTTTCTATTATAAAAAGTTATGTCTGAAAAAATGGAGGAAGGGTTCCCTCTCCCCCGCCCCCGATACTATGTGCCTGTAGAGGTCAAAGGGTTAAAAATTTTAGTTTTCAGAGTAATTTGTTATAAGAAATTGCGGTGTGTAATAATTAGAGATGACATGCTAAACATGCGCGGATCTAGAGGGGGGTCGGGGGGGTCCCCCCCCCTGGAATTTCCACTGTTAAAAAATGTATATACTAAAGCATGACAAAAGTCACCTTGGACCCCCCCTGGAAAACGCTGACCCCCCCTGGTAAACATGTATATGTGTGAAATGGGTATGAAATGTGAGAGATATGAGGCAACAGAAGTCATTGAGTAACCCCCCCAACCCCCCCCCCCCCCCCCCCCCACACACACACACACACGAAATAGGTTTTTCACGTTTGGGCGAGTTAACGTTTTTTTTTTTTTGCTTTTCTGGGATTAGTTTTTTTTTTAACTGGGTGGACCCCCCCTGGAAAAAATTTCTGGATCCGCGCCTGCTAAATATACAGAGATATATGAATCGAGAAACAGCGCACTTTTTGTGCACAATAAATACATGCATACACTTTTTTCAATGGGTTGGTGAAACTGCAACTCTCTGGTCGTCCATCCCAATTTTTTTCAGACTATATATATTCTGAATGGTTGGAACTAGGGCTATTAAAAATTTCTTGTTACAAGGCCTTTCTTTGGGAATCAACTATTAACGTATGAACACTTTGCCTTAATTTTGAAGTTTGATCTAGGTTTAAAAAAACTTTGGCATTGAAAAACCAAAAAGGAGTCGTCAACGTTTCACAAACACATTTTTTAGTAATATAGTTGAATGATGTGTAATTGTTATGAACATGAACTGTATAAATGAAATTGCATCTTTTCTCTTTTCATCGTTGATATACTAGTATAGAAAAATATATAATATATAAAAATTGTTAATAAAAACTTTATTCATTTCCTTCTCGTTTTTTCTCCTTTTAAAGTTTATCCCTACACATTTTCTTCCATTATTATAAACAAAACTAAATTTCATTTGATATCACACTATGAATATTTAATTCACTATAAAAGTTTTGAAATGTGGAATTAATTTGAATGAATACAAGTAAATTGCATGAAAGTTGTTAATTACACCTGTAAAGATCAATGTACTAGTAATTAAAATTTTAAGTAAATGAAAAAGTTACAAGTATTGAAATGTATATTAATTTTCATTTCAATTTTAAAACCAAAGCATGCTAAAGCATAAATCCAGAGAACGTCATTATGGGTACAGATTCCGTGTAGTAGCCGGTTCCACTTGTTCTCGCAATCCAAACTCTGTCTCCCCGCTGAAGTTTCAACAGTACCATGTTTGCTCCGGTCTGATATGTTGCATCTCCCGTATTAAATGCTTCTGATCTCACTTTTGCGACGCCGTTTAACATTATGTTAGTTTGGAGGTTTTGGGTTTTCGAATGGCAGGTTGTAAAGAATACAAAGTGTCCTTCAACATGGGAAGTAAAAATCCCTGTGGTCGAATAATACGATTGTCCCTCGTTGTATAAGACTTTTGGGAATACGATTTTGCTTCCTGTAAAGCCACTGTTAGAAGAAGTAATTCCAGCCGTAAATCCAGTTTGAGAACTTTTACCTGAAAATAAAATAATATGTTAGATTTAATTAAATATCAATTCTCCTCTTTAAATGTACTGTGTACATAGGGATTTCTGCAAACTAGCAGGCGCGGATCCAGAAATTTTTTCCAGGGGGGGTCCACCCAGTTAAAAAAAAAAACTAATCCCAGAAATTTCTTGACAAGCAAAAAAAAAAAAAAAACGTTAACTCGCCCAAACGTGAAAAACCTATTTCGTGGGGGGGGGGGGGGGGGGGGTTACTCAATGACTTCTGTTGCCTCAAATCTCTCACATTTCATACCCATTTCACACATATACATGTTTATCAGGGGGGGTCAGCGTTTTCCAGGGGGGGTCCAAGGTGACTTTTCTCATGCTTTAGTATATACATTTTTTAACCGTGGAAATTCCAGGGGGGGGGTCCAGACCCCCCCCCCCCCTCTAGATCCGCGCATGAACTAGCATGGACATATAAAAAAAAATATCATATGTCATAAGATTATCCCTCCATTGCTTTAACTTACAGTGAAATCAGAAAGTTTCTCTTGTAAATAAACTTTTGGTTTGTTTTTCTTTCTCCCCCTTCTCTCCTATTAATTACTTTGTTTGCTTTGATTAATTATTTTTTTTTTCATATAATATAAAATCGCTTTC